GAATCAAAGCATAACCAAAGACAGCAAATCATAAAACCAAGATGAAGGGGAAAAAGCAGAGAAGTAAATGTGCCGTCATACAAACCTAAGTTAAAAGTAGCAGCAGGGCAAGATAGCAGAGTAGAAACACTAGGGACAGTTCTTAAAATGTCTGGAGGAAGGTTATAGCATAATGTTGATCAGGAAGGATCAAGTGTTGCCTTTGAGATGCTGTTAGGCAGCAGTTCCCAACATTCCTCACCTTTGGCTATGCTGGTTTAAGGCTGATGAGCGTTGTACCCAGTGAGGCTAAGGTGGCCATATGTCCACCTTTAGGGAGGATGGTCCTCCATCTGAAGATTTGCCAGAAGACCTCCTTTTGCATATGTTCTAGTCCTAGTCCAAGCTAAAGATATGGAACTTTAGAAGGAGGTTAGGGTCCTTGATATTGTCCATCCACAATGAGCATCTGAACAACAGGCACACAAGTCATCTGGCCACACTGTCATCCCCAATCAAGTGAGGTCCATTATAATTCTGTTCAAATTATAAAAAGCATTTCTAATTTTACATCTCTGTGTATAAATTAGCATTTGCAGTTTTATGAATATTAGAGTCTTTTTTGTCCTCCTTCCCTGTTGAAGCACAGTCTCCTCTATTGCAATGTCCTCATTTTTAGACTTCTAAATGGCCACCCTCTCCCTAGGAGATCTTAGTAGTTTGTTAAGTGATTGGGTTCACTCTGGGTTAGAGCTCTTGAGACCTCTATTTGGTATCCCTAAGAGAACAGGTCTACACCTTACTCTAAAAATACAGCCTGCAAAAGGTCAATGAATTCTACTCAGCCACAAGAACCAGGGATCATTGCACAAAAAAGACCAGCTAACGACACCCATTAATCACAGTGACAGATAATCTCTCCCCCCTTATCACAACAAAAACACTCTGATCACCCTATCTCCTGAAAAGGACAAAAGCTGTTCCCACAGCTATAAATACTCAACTATCCAACAAACACCAACAGAGCATGGACAGAGTTCCTACTCCAGTCCTCTGAAGATGCCAACCACAGAGACTGGTGAAACATCAGGAAGAACAACCTTCAGAACACGGCCAAAGAGCCCAAAAAACCCACAACAACCATCTACACCTTTCACTTCTTTCACTTCTTTCAAGGGCACAAAAAAAAAGAAGAGCTTTGACAATATCTTTTAAACCTGCCAGGAAATCATGAGTCAAATGCAAAGCGCCCAAACATTAATGAGGCATTTTGCTGGCACTTCCCTGTGCAGAGCTAGCCTGTGTGTTTCCATTCTCTGAGCAACTGGAGAATCCTCTGTTTCCCTCCAAGGATAGGCCTTGATGGGAGTGTCTGTGATGTTTTCACAGAGGTACATAGAGCTGAGTTTCCTGATGCAAGGGTATTCTTAAATTCCTTGATTTCTTGGAACGTAGAATGGTTACATTGTTTACATTCCATTTAAAACAAAAAGAAGTTTGGAGTAAAAAAAATAGATGGACCATTATCTCTCTTTGTATAAGGCAGCTTAAAGGAGGGAACTGTAGTCAGATCAGCTTATTCTAAAAAAAATCTTACCGCATTGCAATTTTTTCATTAATTTAGAATGGGTAGAAGAATCCACTTCTTTGAATTTCCATAGCATTCCATGAGTCTTTCCTTGCATTCCTTATGCAAAGCTATGGTTGCTATGTTTCACGGCACCAGCTGAAGCCTCAGTAAATTTCTGTGTTTCTCTGAGTTTCCAGAAAGGGAGAAACATCTCAGGATGATCCAGGTAAGAACACTTGATATTTGTGTGAGATATATTCATGAAGGCTTTCACGGCTGGGATCTAATGGTTGTTGTGGGTTTTTCGGGCTCTTTGGCCATGTTCTGAAGGTTGTTCTTCCTAACGTTTCGCCAGTCTCTGTGGCCGGCATCTTCAGAGGACAGCACTCTGTGCTCTGGTGTAGTTGGCTTTGGGAGTGCAGTATTTATGGCTGTGAGACTGGCCTTTGTCTTTTTCTGTAGATGGGTGATTAGTGTGTATTGTTGTGGGTGTATTGTTGTGCTCAGGAGAAGAGATTATCTGTTCCTGTGGTTGATGGGTGTCATTAGTTGGTCTTTTGTGTGTAGTGATCCCCTGTCCTTGTGGCTGGGTAGAGTTCGTTGACCTTTTGCATGCTGTATTTTTGAGAGCTGGGAGTCAAGTTTTGTTGAGCTTCACACTTTCCTCTTTTCTGTTGAAGTTTTGCTGGTGCTTGTGGATTTCAATGGCTTCCCTGTGCAGTCTGACATAATGATTGCTGGTGTTGACCAGTATTTCAGTATTTTGGAATAGAATTTCATGTCCAGTTTGTTTCAGGGCATGTTCAGCTACTGCAGATTTTTCTGGTTGTTTTGTGTGAGAGTTTGAAAATCTTGGACTCATATCAGTCAGTCCATCAGGACTCACTGGATCAGCATGATATGGTTTGCTCTAAATAGCATGATGGTTCCAAGAGCATACAGGCACCAGCTCTCCCCCACCCCAGTTACTTCTTGGTTTTTTCCCCTCCCTCATCAGTATTGGAACCATATGCCATTGGGCACAATGCAGGGAACATCAACATAACAATTCTTCAGATGTCTCATTGGATAAACCCTGGCAGTAGTACAAAGATGTGTAAAATCTTCCTAGCCTTTGCTTGCTGTACCTCTGTGACATCATAAAAGGACTACCCCATGACATTGCAAGGGCCCACCCTCTGGCCCTGAAATCTCAGGGAGCAGAATGTGGCTGACTCAGCAAACCAAAGCAAAGCTATAGAGAGTTCCAAAACTGACCAACAGAGGGTGACAGAGAGCCATTCTACAGGATCATTTTTCACATGTTCAATTTGTTTTCAGAATGAGCTGTATCTAATTCCAGCTGTTCTTATTTTTTTCTGGACCTCCAGTTACACAGCTATCAGACACAGTGAACAAATGTTGTGACAACAACGAAATTCTGCAGTCCAAAAACATACTATAGGTTCCAGTTTTGGCAAAGTGACCTCATTCAGGTTTGAAACCTCCATGAATCACCAAGCACACTAGGAGGAGGAGAACTGGTAATATCATTTATGATAAAGGGAGGCTTGAAGCAACTTATTAAGTCTCAGGGACTTTGCTTCATCAAGCAACGTCAGCTGATCACCTTGGGACTGAGTGATGAATGAACTTCAAAAAACAAGCTGGGTAAGCATAGCAAAACACAAGTATCTGTGAAACTTGAATGGGTGCATTCCCTCATCTTTTAATCCCATTTCTGAAATACAGTATATGCTATTTTAGTTTCCAGATTTGCTTGCTAGACCTCATTGCCAGACAGGCAATACATCAGAAAAAAAGGGAAAATAATAAACGTAATGTTGCCAATTAAGATAGCGTTTTGCCTATAAAACTTGTCTCCTCAGGACAAGTTTTATTGTCATGAGGAAGGATTTTGGATTACCTGTTTATAAATATGCTGAGTAAGTAGGGGTATGCAGAACCCATCCTGATCCATTGTGTACCTGAATAAAGCGCATATACATAAGGACCAACCCACCTGGTACCCCTTAAGAAACATTCCAACTTGCTCAGTTCCTGAGGTCCATGACATGTCTGGGCTATTCTGAACCTCCATTTTCATTTTTTTTAAAAAAAATTCCATTAATCAGGGAAACATGCATACACGTGTGTGTGTGTGTGTGTGTGTTTAAACTCAGTGACAAAATAAGAAGAAAGAAAGCTACATTTAGGAGAAAATCTTCAGGATTTGATTCTTAGGTTATTGATGTCTCTTTTTAAGGGCATGATTAATTAAGCTTTCCATTATACTAGCCATCTCAAAGTCATTCCTAACTACTTCCTGTCAAATAAATGTCCCCCCACAAAAATGCATGGTGTGATTCATGTTCTATAAATGCAGGCATACATTTAAAAGTTATTTCTTTTTAAAAGGGAAAATATAGGAAGGAGCAAGGTCTTCTTGGTGATCCCTTTCGCCAAAAAAGCATTTATGTTTAGCATATGCTATTATTAGCTGACTAAAGGAGTTACTGTTTTGTTTGAATCTGGATATCTAAATACAAAATTCAAAATGAGAATTGACTCAAAGACCCCGGTGTTCATCAAGAGACACTCAGGACTTGAAGCACAGGTTGAAGACACAAGCTAGAAAAGGTTCTAAATGGCAGTCCTGTGTATACCACCATCTCCACCTCTATAATGTGTGTTTGTTGCCAAACTTGCCCATGAAGTGGTGATGTCACAGAACAACAGCTTCTCTCACCTCTCATTGGCAGCTGTTGACAAACAGTTCTCCAGATGTTCTCGGACTACAGCTCCCAGAAATCCTGTCCAGCATAGCTAGCGGTGAAGGCGTCTGGGAGTATCAGTCCAAAAACATCTGGGGACCCAAGGTTGGGGACCACTGATACATAGGAATGTAGTACTTAGATATCACAACAATGGCAAGTGTGACCAAATTTTATGGAGCTAATTAATACAGTTACTCATTTTCAGTCAGTGAGCACATGATAAGCATCTTGTCTAGTCTGATTCTGACTCTTCCAGCCTGAGGTTTGTTCAACAGTCAGTTGGATTTATTTTAGGCTTCTATTTTGCACATACTGGCTATATAGCTCTGCGTGGGATGGAAATAATGATGCACTGTACTTTCACCCTAAGCTGCCAGGCCCTACTTGGCTGTGAAAATTAGGAGAAACATTTTTTGATAAATAAAATAAAATAAATAGCTTTTTAATATGAAGAGTAAGATTTCTGTCTTTGCATTTTCTCCTGTCTTGATTGCTTGTCGAACAGTGAGATCATGTGAGCTGTCACTGCTGCTTCAAGAAGCAAATGAGTGGACTGGAGAGAGGAAAAGAAGACAAAGTAGGGTTTGTTTTCACAACCCCCTCTCTATTTCTTCTAGTTAATTCCCTTGTGTTTGTGCTTGGTCAGAGCTATCCGCTCCATTGCCAAGAACGTTGTCATGCTTGTTATTGAGAGAGAGAGAGAGAGAGAGAGAGAGAGAGAGATGGCATAGCTGACCTACAGTGAAGGGACATAATGGTGAGCAAATGAAGCAAAAGGACCCAATATCTCTGATAAGTAAAGATTCTGACATATTGTTTTGCTTGCGAAGATCAGTGTGAACCGAGGTGAGCAATAATTGGGAACAGACTGAGAAAATATGCTTAGGCAGATTTATTTGTCCTGAAGACATAGGGCAGTTGTGGCTTAGCGCCATGGATGAGAGAAAACATCAGCTTCTGCCATGACTCTCATCTATGTTCCCATCGTCCTTTAGATGCGGCTGCTGTGGGGCTTCTTCTCATGCTGCAGAAATATCATGGGAGGTCCTGGGTCATGAAGAAGTCTAGCTCTTCCCAGTGTCAACACTGCCTTTCCTAGAAATTGCTGCACTGCAGGATGGAGAAAGTATACAGAACAATGTACTAAAGTTTAGCTTTAAACTTCTTCCATCCTGCTGGAGGGAGCCATACTGGTAACTAGGGATGTGCAAATGTCTTACAACCTGATCCATCCCCAAATAAAGCACATACAGATTAGGGGAGCTTTGCCTGTATCCTTTAGGAGATGCTCTCCTGTTCTTTGTCTGCTTTTGTAATATTATTTGTTTTTGGCTTCCAGACCTCCATTTATTTTTATTTTTTTTGTACATGAAAGGGGAAACACAAACTGCTGAGACCCAAGGCTGAGGGCTACGCGGCACCATCAATTTTGGGGATGTGAGATTTTAAATGTTTTGTATAGTATGCTGCATTAAGATACACATGCTTCTTGAGTGTGAGATCCAGTGACATACAAAATTATAGCTATGCTGGGTCCAGAGAGAGAGAGAGGGAGAGAGAGAGGGAGAGGGAGGGAGGGAGATGTCTTTACTTGCCCAGCTTCCTCCTGCCCTGGGATCCTGCATCATAATACTATGGTTTCTAAGGTAACTTGACTCCCTTAGCCCCTGGGTGCTCCTTCTCTAATTCCCATAAG